GGAAGAACCTGTGGCTGTACTGTGAGAGCGATGTGAATAACATGGATGAGTTGGAGGAGTCGAAGGAAGACGAGAAGAAGGACGAATTGAAGAAGGGCCTGCGTGCAAAACAGATACTGTTCGACTGCATGACGGACAATATTATGAAGACGGTGAAGCACGAGAGCACTCCGCATCGAATCTTTGAGCGGCTGAAGGAGAGGTTTGTGGGAAAGACGTACTTAAGGTACGCGGATGAGATGACGAAGCTGAGAAACCTTCAGTTGGCTCCGGATGCGAACGTTGCTGAACATTTGGGAGAGGTCCATCAATTGACGAATCACATCGCACTATTGGGTAAGCCTGTGGATGAGTATATGAAGCCTGCACTGTTGATTGGGACGCTGCCATCTGAGTACGAAAACGTGGTTGAGACGTTTCTCGCGAGTCACACCTCACACGATCCGAGTACCCCGTCCAACTACGAGCAGTTGGAGCATGCGTTGGAGGTGGCGTATGATAGACGTCAGAGCCGCCAGCCAGCGAAGAGGGCTGAGAGTAACAAGGAGGAGAATAATAATGAGAAGGCTTATGTTGGTTATGACTGTGGTAGGGGTTTTGGACGTGGACGTGGTCGAGGTCGAGGTCGTGGTCGAGGACGCGGCTACGGACGAGGACGAGGACGAGATGAACAATGTGAATGTGGTCGAGGATATGGACATGGTCGTGGAGGACGGGGATGTTGCTTCCACTGTGGGAAACGAGACCACTATGTGTATGAACGTCCTCATCTTGGGCAGCAACCGCCCAGTGGTGAGCCGCAGAGAGAATTGACACCAAAGCATGTAAAGTATGAGAGTTAGTCTAATGCGGGCGGAAGATATGCCGAGGAGGTTGATGAAGATGAAGCGTATTAAGCGAAGGTGACCGGTCAGTTTTGGGGTTTGCGATTTGAGAGTTTTGATGAGTTTGAGAAAGAGTGTTGAACTGGTGGGGCTGTGTGAGTTGTGCTGACGATGTTGCCGGCAACAACGAAGACAGAAGATAATGCAACAATGAGAATTGGGCAGACAAGGTGGAACTGTAGAGACATTGAGGAGACAGATGGTTGGTGCATATCCCATGACGATGTGGCATATTGAGCTGTGAACCCAATGATGCGTGTTGAGAGAGATGGCCAAACTGGTGGGCCATAATAAGCGTGAGTGGATGAAGAGAGAATTGTCAGCAGGCCACCTACATGGGGGTTGAACGTGCTGTACATGTTGAGAGTGGTGCTGGCTCCTTGTGAAGACCTCAAACTAAGTGCCTAACAGCCTTGGTAAGAAGAGCTTTCCGAGTTGTTGAGCTGAGACAAAGAAAGAGAGAATGATTGAGGGTTGTATTGATGAAGGGCACGAAGTCTCAGAGTGTGCGGTGATAGTTGTGGATCAGTAGGTGGGGCTGTTGCGGATTATACTGATCTACACTATACAACTTTAGGTTTGTATTGTGTGAGACAATGGGTACAGAGAGAAGGATTGAGTTGGAGGAGTCGAAGGAAGACGAGAAGAAGGACGAATTGAAGAAGGTCCTGCGTGCAAAAGATATACTGTTTGACTGCATGACGGACAAGATTATGAAGACGGTGAAGCACGAGAGCACTCCGCATCGAATCTTTGAGCGGCTGAAGGAGAGGTTTGTGGGAAAGACGTACTTTAAGTACGCGGATGAGATGACGAAGTTGAGAAACCTTCAGTTGGCTCCGGATGCGAACGTTGCTGAACATTTGGGAGAGGTCCATCAATTGACGAATCACATCGCACTGTTGGGTAAGCCTGTGGATGAGTATATGAAGCCTGCACTGTTGATTGGGACGCTGCCATCTGAGTACGAGAACGTGGTCGAGACGTTCCTCGCGAGTCACACCTCGCACGATCCGAGTACCCCGTCCAACTACGAGCAGCTGGAGCATGCGTTGGAGGTGGCGTATGACAGACGTCAGAGCCGCCAGCAAGCGAAGAGGGCTGAGAGTAACAAGGAGGAGAATAGCAATGAGAAGGCCTATGTTGGTTATGACTGTGGTAGGGGTTTTGGACGTGGACGTGGTCGAGGTCGAGGTCGTGGTCGAGGACGCGGCTACGGACGAGGACGAGATGAACAATGTGAAGGTGGTCGAGGATATGGACATGGTCGTGGAGGACGAGGATGCTGCTTCCTCTATGGGAAACAAGACCACTATGTGTATGAACGTCCTCATCTTGGGCAGCAACCGCCCAGTGGTGAACCGCAGAGAGAATGGACACCAAAGCATGCAAAGTATGAGAGTAAGTCTAATGCGAGCGGAAGATATGCCGAGGAGGTTGATGAAGATGAAGCGTATTAAGCGAAGGTGACCGGTCAGTTTTGGGGTTTGCGATTTGAGAGTTTTGATGAGTTTGAGAAAGAGTGCTGAGCTGGTGGGGCTGTGTGAGTTGTGTTGAAGATGTTGCCGGCAACAACGAAGACAGAAGATAATACAACAATGAGAATTGGGCAGACAAGGTGGAACTGTAGAGACATTGAGGAGACAGATGGTTGGTGCATATCCCATGACGATGTGGCATATTGAGCTGTGAACCCAATGATGCGTGTTGAGAGAGATGGCCAAACTGGTGGGACATAATAAGCGTGAGTGGATGAAAAGAGAGAAATGTCAGCAGGCCACCTACATGGGGGTTGAACGTGCTGTACATGTTGAGAGTGGTGCTGGCTCCTTGTGAAGACCTCAAACTAAGTGCCTAACAGCCTTGGTAAGAAGAGCTTTCCGAGTTGTTGAGCTGAGCCAAAGAAAGAGAGAATGATTGAGGGTTGTATTGATGAAGGGCACGAAGTCTCAGAGTGTGCGGTGATAGTTGTGGATCAGTAGGTGGGGCTGTTGCGAATTATACTGATCTACACTATACAACTTAAGTTTGTATTGTGTGAGACAATGGGTACAGAGAGAGCGAGGGGGCTCAGTTGAGAATTTGCAGTTGAGAATTTGCTGCTAATATACCCAGTGCCTAAAGGTGGTTTTTGCCGCCCAGTGTGTGTCTGTTCATCCTACTCTGCGTGTGCGTCTAGGAGGAATTTACAGCTCCCAACTCTGGTAACGTTTAGCCGTAACCACGGACGGGTATGGTCAACGGAAAGGTTTGCCTCTCGGGAAAACGGACGGGTACGGTAAACCTACTCTCATGATCGGTTGGTTATGGCTAGCCCAGATCGCCAAAGGATGGGTATTTAGAGAAGTTTTGCATGTTTTCCTTTATAAAGAGTTTTGGCCACAACTCGTGCCTTTCAAAGAGAGAGGGTTGCACATCAGCTTATTTTGATCAGAAATACTGGACAAGAACATGAGCTTCGCCTATTTCATTCTATACATAAATTATGCACGTGCAACTATCCATATAGTAGACCGCTAGGCCGCCCGACATCGGTTTAATTTGTATATCGTGTAGCCCAATATCTAAAAAAATGCTCCATTTTCGGTTAGCAAGGAGTTTATCGCCGTGGAGACGACCTTAGAGCATCCGCACCGGTGCGGCTATCCTGCCGACAAATGCCATATTTAGCTATAGATGGCTATTCGAGGAGCCACCGGTCGCGCCACATGCTCGCTATAAGAAGAAAGACGGTTGTGTCGACTAAATGGGCGGCACATTTGTCGAGCAGATAGTCGCCACAACGTAACAGATGGACTTTCGTTGGTGAGAGACACTGCGTTGATGCTGCACCCTGATCCAGATGCTGCGTTGTGTGTCTTCATGGATGCGTCAATTTCCGGGTTCGGTACAATGGTGACACAGGTCGCACGATGGCAACCAGGCATTCCTGTCGAGCCCTAGTACCGTCAGTTAGCGCGGGGTTGCGAAAGCGATTCAGCGTCAAGCTATACAAGAGAGAGATTCCATTTCTTAAACATTTTTGGACAGCACAACAGTTTTTGATGGCCGACATTTTTTTCAGGTACGTTCTAATACATTTCAATGACAAAATGTGTTTATGTAGTAAAAGTTAGATGCTCATCGTGCTAAGAAATGTTCAAGCTTTCCGAAATAAGTAGACATATAACCTATCACAGTAGTCTTTACATGTACATGTCCTCCTAATTCTGAAAAAATGTAGACACAAAGCAACTTTCTAAGCCATTTTAGCAAATTGTGATTGCATGTATACTTCGAGTACTAAAGTAGTACAGCAAAAAGTTTATGTACTGTATAATCTATTTCTAAATTATGATAAATCTATTAAACAAAATCCGGGCACCCCGACAATAGTTTTACTTATGTTTTGCTGATTTTGCTTGCACCGTCCGACAAAAGGTAAACAATTATATTATAGCGGTCAAATATTGCCGCAGGATAGTCTTCGACAAAAACACAAAAAGGGTTGCGTTGTGCACTTCCGACCAATGTCTGTGTGTTCCCAGTCTGAGCGTGACTTTTGCTAAACAACCAGCATGAAAGAAAATTATGGTATGGTGAGCGAAACAATCAAAGGATGTGTTCAGTAGGTATGCTGGGGAGCTTTAAGACATCTCATGGGCCTAACGGACGGAGCTTTAAGACGCTCACACGACCCAAGTCGGGGGTCGGTTATTATAGTTTTGTTGGAGTAGTGCGAAACAGGCTACTGACATAAATCGTTTTTGCGATCGTCCACCGCAAATTCGATCGTGTTTGTCCTTTGTAACAAAATTAAGTTTGTTTTATCGGCGGGCCCTTAACTATTCCGACACGTTGAACAAGATCATCACGAGGATGTGATCAAAATTCTCACGCAAATCAGCTACCGGTATACTGTAAAGTACTGAGAAAAAAAACACTACTCAGCTCATTCAAGCTGCACGACGATGGACCGAAAGCTGGAGATACTTAATAAAGTAGAGCTGCCAATAAACTCTGCTTGATCCTTATCGAGGTGGTATCTTCCGCGGCTCACGCAACATAGAAAAACATCCCATGCCTAGATCAAATGATTCACTAATACTGTAGTATATATTAAACTTCGTACACGGCTCAAGCCTTCAGCAGCGACTTTTCTCGTTCCCTGTAGAGCCTTTAAAGCAATACATCCACTTAGAGATCCCAGTAGTTCACACACACAACTTCCGTACCTTTTGAACTCGTCGTCCGAGATCGACAACATAGACCCGTCCATCGCCATGATGAACTCAACAGCACTACGCAAGTTCACGAAGCAGTATCCAGCCCTATCAGATACAGAAAAAAAAAGAAGAAACAGCTGATGAGCACCTGATAAACCAGTTTTCGCGCGCATGTGTGGATCCTCACTTTGACATCAAGTCGGCCTGGTTCCGGTACGCTGCAATGTACTCGCAGTTGGAATGCAGTCGAGGAATCTGCGAGTGCAGCACGATGTAGATAAAAACTGGCAGAAAGTCATCGGCTCCTGGACGACTGCCGGAGTCTCCTCGCGACAAATTGAGCACACTAAAAATCACGCTACAGCATCGAACTATGCAATTGATTTTGTCTCCTGGCGATCGGAACGAGTTGATTCGTCGCAATTCGTCCTCCGCCATCGACCAGACGACCTCATTGCGCATACACGGCTTGATATCTAACATCTCCGGCGTAATAAACTACACAAACACGTTAGGTTTGTGCTTCACAAGCGCAATAAACCAGCTCAGCGTACCGACAACAGCTGCATACGTCGCAGCAGAGCTTCATCTTCTTTCACCCACTGCTGGCACTCCTTGAGCTGACTAAATGCAATGTCGGATACTTTGTCCATAACGTACTTCTCAATCCCATCTCGTGCCTTGGCCAGTCTCCCCTCGGAGGCATGGCGCCAGGCCGGGTGTTTAAAAGAAGATCCTCCATGCTCTCGAAGAACCGGATACATCGACGTCTGAGCTCGTGCTTTCCATAAAAGTCGTACCCCACGTAGTCCGTCGAGCGTGGGGGTCGTCCGTCGCCACGAGGTCCAAGGATGGAGCCTACAAACATGCGGATCTTGTCCAGGACGTCTCGAGAAGCGGGCAGACTGATGCGCTGTAGGAACTCGCCGTATGTTAAGCTGTCCTCCTCTCCATCGGTTGGGTCCGAACTCGCTTTTTTCTTAGCTTTCAGGGCTTCATCAACTCCAGCAAAAAGGTTGCGGCTTTTTGTCGATAGTCCGGATGCCCCATTGTCCCCCAGACCAAGAGAGTTCCCCTCATCCTTCACCTGCGTGGGAGCAGTCAACGATGCTGCTTCTTCCGTCTGGTTACTGTCGATATCGTCATCGTTGTGGAGGAGTCCTAGGTCGCTCACGCTCAAACGGCCAGACATGGTGCGGTTGGATTTGCGCAGAAAGCCTGCTGACCTCGCGAACACCTCCTCTGTGGGGCTACTGTCTTGCCGCTCGAGCGACGGCCGCCGTTTGACAATAGGAGAGCTCCACGATCGCGGGGGCTTCGACACTGGCTCTCCAGTATCTCCAAAAAGGGACGAGGACGACGACGCGGTCGCAGTGCTGCTCGAACTATAAACACTGGCAGTCGCACTGTGATTATGCGAACTGACAGGACCTCGTGGCGTGTACGGCAGCTGATCCAGATCAATTTTCACAGCGTCTTTGCCGAGTTTCTCAACTTCCAGCGACATTTGCTGCTTCGAATCGAACTGGGGTTCGTCCAACGGGTCTGCCAAGCCCACAGCGCCGGGGTAGCTCTTCATTGAGCTCAGCAGCGTTCTCTTTTCAGTCTGTTTCGAGTTATACTTGAGCTTTCCTGTTACCAGACCACTCCCCAAGATGCTCCCCACTGTCGAAGGTGACGGCAACGCCGTCACCATGGACTCTTTATTCGCAGTTGCAGCTGCTGTACTGGCGTAAATCTTCGCAATCACCTCGTCCTGCTGCTCCACTGCAGTGGTGAGAAACTGGCAGCGGTCTCTTAGCCGCACGAGCTCTAGATCTCGTGCCAGCAACGCACTCGTAAGATCTGCTACCTCACTACGTAGCTGCTCGTTGGCGCGTCGCAGCTGCTCTACCTCGCTCTCTGCCTCCATGTTGTTGCCACTCTCCGCTAAGGCACAGTCGATCTTAAAGACGGAGTCCAGCAACTCGACTTCAACTTCCTCGTCCAAAGAACTCGTAGGCGACGCACAACGTGGTGTAGATTTATCGAGATCGGTTACGATCGCTCTAATCTCTTTTTAATAAAAAAAATTTGTTGTAGAAATAAGAAAATGAGTTAGTTAATGAGGAGTGTAAGTCTTAGTTGAACCCAACGGTTGTGGAGGTCTTGACAAACAGCCAGCAGCTGAAACAACGGCGTATGCTATTGCTAATGCGTAAACTGCCTACCTGGTGAGGCCACAGCGATATGAGGCATCGCGGGCCTAGTGTCCGTCCACGTGTGAGCTTCAGACTGCAAGTGCGCGAGTGGGTTTTCTTTTTCGCGTTGTTCTCATTTTGGATCCAACTGTGTAACCCATCCTATTTTCTACACCATGTGTACATATGTAGGAGGCTGTAGCGTAAATTGGTAACTGCAGTCACCGTAGATGGTACAGAAAAGAGATCTTGGAAGGTTGCCATTCTTTTGACAAGCATCCAGCAAAGATACAGATGCGGTGGAGAGAGATCGTGCTGGCTGTGGTGTGGCTGGGCGGCGTGGTGCTGCTACGCAGGGTGCAAAGCTTGGGTTTGGACCTGCGCTCGTCCACCGCGCTGCAGGTGAACCAAGTGCTTAACAGTTTGTATGCGAAGGGAGATATGGTCCAGCTAAAGGAGGTGGCTGAACAAGTCGTGCAGCAGAATAACACAAAAGGTAGTGGACAGGTTGGTGTTATAGAGAATAGATAGTAATGGCTGTGTTCGTGTATGACAGTGCTGCAGGATCTGAGCTTTCCGAGTGTGTTCCAGTACCTCGGGGTGGCACAGTACTCTCTTGGGGATCTGGAGGAGGCGACCAAGACGTTTGAATTAGCAGTCAAAGTGAACGAAAATGACTCTCAAAGTTGGGTACATTTAGGAAACTGCTACCTTTTTCAGAAGAGACTACCGGAAGCAGTGGCTGCGTTGGAAGTTGGAGTGAAGCAGAAAGGGTCGGTGAAGAGCTTGTACGCACTGGTCAAAGCAAGGAACTGGATGGCAGATTGGGAAGATAGAGAGGACTCGCTAGGTCAGGTAAAGGAAATGCTGGAGGAAGGACTGCGATTGGGCCAATCGCTTGATGCCAATGCGTTTGAAGTGGTAGAGCTGCCGCCACGGACGCGACTGGAGCTCCGTCGGCGAGCTTATGACGAGTTAGAGGCAAGGGCCGAGATACTTTGCTGCGATGAGCGTACGAATCTAAACCTACAAGCTCCAGAATTGCGAATTGGCTTCGTATCGTCGGATTTCGGTGTACATCCTGTCTCATCGCTGCTACGCGGTTTACTGGCGCTGCTCTCGAGTCCGGATCACCAGACAAAAGTCTACTGCTTTTCACTATCAGATGCGTCGTCCTGGTGGAGTCGAAACATCTCCCGTACTGTTGACTTTATGATATCGCTGAATGGTAAAAACACTCTGGACGCAGCCAAACTTATCCAATCGTATGGCATTCACGTGCTAGTGGACTTGAATGGACACACACTTCTCTCCGGCATTAGTATTTTCACTCACCGCCCAGCTCCTGTCCAAGTGGCGTATCTCGGCTACCCAAAGACGACCGGATATCCGTCCATCGACTATATCGTGAGTGACGGGGTGGCTACTCCTGCAGAGACGAGTGGAGGGAGCTTCTCCGAGAAGCTACTTCTGCTACCGACGCACTACATTGTCAATGATCACCTGCAAATGCTTGGACATACAATACAAGGCAAGCGACCGAGACTCTCCACTTTCTTTGATCTAGACGACTACACATTCGTCTTTGCCACGTTCAGCAACTGGCAGGTACGACTGCGAGTATGTGCTGTGGCGTACGTGTCTTTATCTAACGTTGTGTGGGTATAGAAAATGGATCCGTCCGTCTTCAGTGCTTGGATGGAGATTCTGGCTCGTGTTCCAAGCAGCGTGATGTGGTTTCAGGAATATTTTGGCCACGAAGGAGCGATCACAAACCTCCGTAACGAAGCAGAAGCTCACGGTATTAACGGCAAGAGACTCATTTTCTCGCCGCTAGATCCGTGGATTGATCACACTTATCGAAAGCGCATCGCAGACCTCGTTCTCGATACATCGATGAAGAATGGACACACGACCGTCCTAGACGCTCTGTGTGCTGGTGTGCCCGTGATCACTCTGGAAGGAGATCAAATGAGCAACCGAGCCACGAGTTCTGCGTTGAATGCACTGGATTTACACGACATGACGGTACACTCGATCAAGGAATACGTCGAAGTTGCAGTCTACCTTGCTACTCACAAGCACGTGCTCGAAAAGCTTCGGAAGAAAGTGGAAGACAATCGGTTGCACTATCCGCTTTTCGACACCGCCAAATACGCGACTAAGTTCGAGGAGTCGATCAAAGCTGCCTGGCAATTGAAAAAGTCGAGACTTCGAGGTCCAACACGAGAAATGCACATCTTCCAGTCGACGGAGGCCTCAGCTGTGTGGCCGCGTGACTTCCCGGTTCTGTCAGCAAAAGAGGACAGTAATGCTGAAGACGAGTATGTCGTTCGTGTTCAAAATGCACTGGACACTCAACAGCCGATTCAACTTCACATTGGAGGCCACGTCAAGGATCCGGACTGGTGGATCGTGGATGCCAACGACGGAGATATCGTGGACTTCGTCATGTACATTTCCAATCTGTACGCTTTCCCAGACAACTCAGTGGACGTCCTCTACTCGTCACACGTTCTAGAGCACTGTACACACGGATTCGGACGCGAGCTCGAGCATACACTGCGTGAATGGCATCGAGTCCTGCGTCCTGGAGGGCAACTGCTCGTGTCTGTACCAAACCTCTTTGCACTCGCCACGCTCTTCACCAACGAGAGTATCCCACATCAAGATCGCGTATGGATCATGACGGTTATATACGGCGGACAGATCGACCAGTACGACCTCCACAAAGTGGGGTTCGATGAGGCTATCTTGCTCGCCTATCTCACTCAAGCTGGCTTCTGTGAGTTCACACGGTACGACGACTTCGGACTGTTTGCCGACTCCAGCATCCTCGTTGTACACGACACGCCTATCAGCCTCAATATTCAAGCCAAAGTCTGCAAGTAATATACTGTTAGCTGTAGAATGATGCTCCTGTCACTGCACGTGATTACTTAGGGCCGTTCTTAGCCAAAAAATAATGGTGGATTATGCTTCCATGGCCCAATCATTTCACTTGGATCCATATGGCAGTGGACGCCGTATGGTCCGTTTGATCCACGTCCACTGTGTGAAATTAGGGTTGGTGGCCGTGGACGGAAGGTGGACGGGAGAAGAGACATACCTGACGGGATAGAACGACACCTTTGGCTGGAGTTTATACAGCTCATTCCATCAAGTCTCCTGAAGTACTCAGTCCACATCAGCAACGAACCGTCCCCTGTCAATCTATCGCCATGTCCTCCTCCTCCGTTATGTCTCCTCGTTTGCCTTCACCTACGGCACCTCCAAGAACCAATACATCTGACGGCGGCATTCCCGCGACTACATCGACTATTGGTGATGTCATGTACAACAGTACCGTGAATCTAGAGGAAGCCGAATCGTGTCTGATGTCATTTGGAGCTAAACAACTTCGCACAGAGTGTTACCTTCGGCGGCTACGTATCGTTAAAAAGGGCCCGGACGCCAACGACCACAACTCAAAGTGATACATCGCAGCAATAAGCTAATATTAGATGTCAACCACCCCTCCTTCAACCTTAGCCACTAAGGCCGTCCACTAGTTTTAAGTTTGTTCTTAGCCGAATCAAGCACAAAAAGTACCATCCACCTTAACTCTCATCCACTTGCAAGAAATCGGCTAAGAACGGCCCTTAGTCATGATTAGGTTTCACTGCAACTTCAACAAAACTGATCAATTCGTGCTGTCCACATCATAAACCTATTATTCAACATACTTCATGCGATATATTAGGAGGGGAAAAATCCTGCGCTGAGCAGTCAGTCGGCAGTTAAGCGTGCGGAGAGGGACGACGACGCGCTACGACAGGTAAATGTGCCCTCTAGCCCCTGCTGCTCTGTGTATCCACGCGCAATCTCTAACGTCGTTTTGTTGTGTCACGCTACTGCTATTTTTTTGCGTGAATTGCGCTTCTTATTACCGTTATTCAAGCCAAGAGTCAAGGACCATCACTCCTGCACTTTCATGAGCGCGCACTCGAGCGCCCGCTCCAGCCAGCGCTCGAGCTTTAGCGGCTCACCGCGACACATAACAGTGGACGAAATGAACCAGCTGTCCATCCGCAGTCTGGAGGAACTCAACCAACTCTCACAGGCCACGCGCCAGTTCGGAGAAGTGTATTCAGGCAGTCCGGACGCCTCTCGACGCAGCCCCAAGTTCCTACAGAGACTCTTCGACCCTCTGGACAACAAGAGCGACGCAGAATGTTTGTTCCGCGTGCGTATCTCCGGCATTCAGTGCCGCAATCTCCAGGGACGAAGGTTTAGCGGCAAGAGTGACCCTTTTGTCGAGTTTTACTGGGACGACCCCGAGGAAAAGACACCGTACGCCACTCCAGTGATCAAGGCGGACTTGAATCCGAACTACAAAGGAGTGCTGATCGCCTTTGAGTACAAAGCGCCGCTGAACGCGCTAACGAAGCGACTTTTGTCGATTAAAGTGTTCTCGAACCGGAAATTCCACGCCAAACACTTGATCGGACAAACGCAGGTGGACCTGTGGAGTGTGGCGACTGGACCTGTGCATCACGACCACCATTTGATTGGATGCGACAATGGACGCGTGGTGTTTAACTGCTACATGGAGCAATGCAGCGAATGGAACATCTCTGTGAGCGACGTAGGCGTCATGATGCCTGCGATTGCGAACGAGCTGGACCGACCGGAAGGACACGATTTCCAGGAAGACGCGTCGCTGCCGCTCAAGAAGTTTGGAGTGAGCTACAAGTGCACGATTGGGACGAACGAGAAGTTTTACATGGGCAACAAGCTGAAGCACGCGATCAAAAGAGAGATTGGAGATATCCATGAAGTGAGTTTCCAGTCGTTAGCAAGGCTGGCGGTGCTGTCGTCTCGAGTGTCGAGACCGAACAGTCAGCCCAAGAGCGAAGCTGGAGCAGAGGACGAAGCTGCTGGCGACGCTCTCGTGGCTCAAGACCCCATGGGCGTGGAATGGGCGACTTCATCGGACTATCTACCTCCTATTACACGCTACAGCACTTTCGATGAACTTATGTCGGCCACGCTGACGTTGGAGGTGAGCGGGATACTCATTAGACGACGATATTTCGTGTTGTTTTTGTATTGATTCTTACCGGTGCGTCATCATGTTGTGATTGTAGGTGCGTCAACTGCTGGTTGGTCGAGGTCAAATGTCCACAGACCCGGACGGAGGGTTCTTGAGCTTGCTGGACAAGTACAAGAATGAAACATTGGTGCGTTTTGTTAGGACACTTGGCCGTTGATAACTGCTTTGAACGTCTTGGACTAACAATGATAAACTGATACTTTAAAGGCAACCCCGAATATTGACGTGCAATTCGACGAGGAGATCAAGAACACAATTCTGTTCGGTCAAACGTGGTTGTCTTTGGAAAAGATTTTTGAAGATGCCCTGCAAGAGCGAATGAAAAAGAAATATGACGCTGATCCGAACAGCGGTATGAATGGTCTCGGGTTCTCTGAGCAGTTTGTCACGAGCAAGTTTGAACAGAGTCTCACATTAAAGGGGCACCAGGTTGGCGTGATTTACGGTACAATTCTATTCAAGCGAATCCCGGACGTCCGACAGCTGCGATGTGGTGTAAATAGTGAGAACGGTATCTCGTCGTCCAGCTCGGTGATTGTAGGAGCAGTCGCGGCAGGCTCAAAGAAGAATCTGCGCAAATCCAAGGTGGTGATCCCGGTCGAAGCTCAGCGTGTGTTGGAGAAGATGCAGGATCTGGTGGAGCTAATGGCGAATCGACAGAAGGATGACAAAGAAGGCAAAGTGCGGAAGGCGACAAAGATTTTGAAAATGCTGCAGATATCGCACAAGGCCTCGATGCTATCGTGGGTGTACGTGTCAGCAGAAGCTCTGGAAGAAACGAAAAACATCCTGTTGAGATTGTGGCAGTTCCTGCTGGAGAACATTCGCGTCCGGCATTACACGCTGCGAAATGTTTTCTACGAATTGCTGTTTTATTTAGTAAAGCGAGCGGAGCTGAGTGATTTGCCGCTGCTGGGTTTCGACTCGACGGTGGCAACTGCCGTGTTGGGGGCCAAGCATACGCACAAAGTGTCGAAGAAAGATCTGGAGTTTGGCTTGAAGCTCCGTGCGATGCTCGTTGAAACCAAGTTCTGCGTGCTACAGACAGTCTCTGTCCGTGGTGTCATGAACAACAACCTCATGTTCTTTGTGGCGAGAATGTTGTCGGTGCTGTGCTTTCGGTTACCAAGTTTCGGTGTGGAGCTGTATCAGTTGTGGTCCGAGTCGTACAATGAACCGGTGCCTGAGCTTGCTGCTGAGTTTAGAATGAATGCTGACGCCGATTTGTTCGCTATGGATGGATTAGAAGCCCATCTGGACTGGCGGCGGTTCCACAAGGCCATTTTTGATGAGTACGGAGAAAAGTCGTTGCGGAATCAGGAAGAAGAAGCCGAAGACAAGTACGAAGTGACTTCTGAGGCCTGGAAATCGCGTTTCCGTCGCCTTAACGGAGAAGCGAACACACTGAATATTTTGCTGGTGGACCAATGGCTGTGGTACGTGTTGGATACGTTGGCTGTACTCAACCAGAAGATCGGATGGATACATTTGCCTGGTTACACTCAAGTGCTGATGGTGTTCTTCTTGGAGTTAAAGACGCAGAAGTCTGGCTGGCTACCACCCACACTGTACAAACTGTCGTGTACGATGTTGTCCAACCCGAGCTTGATCAACCCCATGACTAAGTTCCTACTGAGCAGCACCAGTGTGCACGATGTAACTGCAGTCATCGGCGCTGTGGAACTGCTCGGCGTGTGGATGTACATGATTCGAAGTTGGCGCGTTCGTTTGAGCTCGTACCGACTGTCACATCTAGAGAACAACGATCGCTGGAACTTCCACCAAGACGATCAGTACTCGATTCCAGCGGGGGATGAAGTGTCGCTGCTTCCGCCTTCATTCGACTTTCGTTTCCTGTGTGCTGCGCTGCGTATTCTACTGGACTCGGAGCACACTCAGGTCGTCTTGACAACACTGGAGTTCCTATACAACTGCTGGGATTGTTTCCCAGAGCGACATGCAGACAAACTACGCTTCGAGCTACTACGGTCTTTCATCCGCCTGTTCCTGCACTGGCATCGTGAAGTACGTAGCTTCTTCCAGACTTTGATTGCGTTCCGAGCCATGAAGCCTCACGGGTGGACTCAGAAGGGAGCGTCTTTCGTGAATACGCCGCCACACAGCCGCCGCCAGATCGATGCTGTGGCGGCAGACTTTAACTCGTCGCTTGGAACCGAGGAGCCTAGTGACAGCGCTCGACGCTCGCGATCCTACAGCGCGAGCAACATTATGGACTCGGTACATAAACGACTAAGTTCTCCCTCCCCGCGCTCATCTCCTCGGACGTCACCGTCACCGTCCCCGCGGAACGCAGGCTCGAGTTTATCGTTGACGATCTCCCCCAATAATCGCGGTTTTGGTAGTGGGAATAGCACCCCGACTTCGGACTACAAGAGTGGGGACAGTTTCCAGACCAAGACGCGCAGTATCTCGGAAGATTACATCAAACACCCGACGCTACAACCTAAGATGGACTCCAACATCCAGATGAAGTTCAACCGACTGCTGGAGTCGATTTACATCGCTGCGAAGAAGTACATTGACCATCAGAGCGAGAGCGGGAATCTTTTACGCAAGCAGACGATGAAGGCAACGTGGAAGAAGAAGGGGATGCTGCTGAAACAGGGCTTTATCTACAAGAACACTTGGAAGAACAAGTACTTCTCGCTGCAGAACAACAAGCTAGGATACGCCGACTCGGAACACGGCCCTATCAAGCGCGAAATCAACGTCATTGGCAGTGTGGTCTCGGAGATGTCGAATCAGCTGGATCACTCTCAAGGAACACGCGTGGTGCTCTTCAACTGTTTTTCCGTGGACAGCGGCTACCAGAAATTTGTTCTCTGCGCTCCGACGTTCGAGGAACAGCGCGAGTGGATAGAAGTGCTGGCTCAGAATGCGACGGCGGAGACGGCCCAGCGAAAGGACAACGAGACGATGTCTCAATTGGATCTTGCGGAAGTGTCGGACCAGTTGGAGTCGCTGGCTGGGAAGCACTCGACGTCCGATGAAGTTTCCGAGAACCTGTTGCCGTACTCGGTACTGGCTGTGAAAGAGTGAGTCACTTGGTGTTTGAGGTGTTTTGTTAGCGTTGATCTTACTTGTCGTTTGTCCAGGTGGCTGAACTTCCGAGTGACGGCAATGGAGATCGACGGTAAAATTGCTGCTGGCCAGCCATTCCAGATGCCAGTGCTGCTGTCCAAGTCGTCTTTGTATGCGGATGATGATTAGACGGCTGCAATGGCTAGACTTTGAGGGCGTCAGACGATTTTATGGCTGCTTTGAAGACCTTTTAGCTTCGGCGGTGGGTACGCCAGCTCTCGTGGATTTCTTTCCCTTTATCGTTAACAAACTATATACATTGTGGCCACCGCCGACATGCTAATCCCTCGAGCTCCTGCAGCTTTTGAACCAGTTCCGACGCCTCCTTGGCAAATGTTCGTCGATGGGTTTTACCTGTTCAGACGAAGTCTTTGGCATACATCAATGCTGTACAGCTGGCTAATCAACGTCATCTGGACGCCGGGGAATGCTGTGTTGACGGGGAAATGCCGTGCTTGTGTGCAGGTTTGAGCAGTCGTATTGTTGTTGTTACTTGACCATTTCTGCCCGCTCTATCCAAGGCGCTCACGATGCGTCGGCATCGAGTGTCTGACTCTGCGTTGTGCGTCCTCCCTATCGAGAACTAGCCGTACTGAGCTATCACCTGTACAGTACTGCTGGAATGGAAGTCTCCTCACTGCATTTGCTCACCAGCATATCTCAAAGCTCAGACCTAGCCTACCGTGTTACCACACGTCGTCGCTGTTTCCATCGCAGTATCATACCTTCTTCACTTCAGTCGCTCGCGAGTATCTTCGAGAAGTCGTACCACCCTTTCTTGACCGCTGCCCTCAACGCTGTACCAGCGCCGTCGTCACCAAGGATGCAAGGTAGAGGCCATTAATCAACACCGAACAGAATCACGATTTGGTGTAAAAAATAAACGTATACTTTTATTCGGAAAAGCCGATTTTTTTTCTTTCCACCGGAAATTTGGGAGCCACAGGGACCCCCCCCCTTATCACCTTGGCCCGGTAGTCATTACCGGAAAACTGACAATGTTGATAAATTGCAGTGGTGCAATAGGTTTAAAAATTTCCTTTACCCTAAAGTAAAAATGCCACTAAGGAATGGGGAATGCGACAGCTCCCGAGCGTTCGTCCAGTCCATGTTTTCTACCGCGGGGGTCTGGGGTGCAGCCCCCAGAACCAGTATACTTAAGAGCGTACAATGGGCTCATTAATTATTCCCTTCCCTTACATAAAATGGGACTTCTAGGAATATTTAGCTGTATGGAAGTCATAGAAGATAGAAATCTAGAATGGTAGCCGCACATGTGCGGTGTTTAGGATAAAGCAGGGTTGCATCATATTCGTAGGCGGACCCACCAACGAGCTCCAGTACCCAGTTCACGTTTTTATAATGGGGGGGGGCTGGCTTTGCAATCCCCAGTATTCTCAAATACGGTTATAACTCCACGTTTTGAAGTTAAGGTCAGTGGGTACAGTATCCATCATTTGGCGGTTTAATTGAATATGATATTGAAGGTCCAATCAGCGACATGCGTTTTATTATTGGCTAGCCAATCAACGTACCGGCTTTATTTTAGACTATCCAATCAGATTTCTGTATGTGCTGAAGCTATGCACGATGGCTTCACAAACTTATTTTGAAATCTTCCGCGTCAAGCGAGCACTCGCGCAGGGAATTGATAAAGAGTATGGATAGTGATGAATCCTCGGATGGCACGTGATCACCGTTTGCTAAATGAGTGTTCGACATGTGGGCACGACACGCGCGGGGGCGCCTTTTTATATGTGGGAACTCTATGAGTTATCGGACTGAGGCAACTTGGAATCAAGCCAAGTCAATGTTAACGTCGCATGTGCGCTCGATATGTGCCTGAACGCAATTTTCAACTACCAAACAGCTCTTTTAAGTATATTGCGGCCCGAACTGCTATTGTTTTTGCACTGAACGGCATTTGTCGCGGTCTTCCTCTAATCGGGGTCGTGAGTATCTTGGGCCGATGTAGGAGGTAGTAGTATTAGCGACACTACTGGGATAGTAATGTGAAAGTGGATATATTCTTGTGCTGTTTGTTAGAAGGAAATCCACGACTGACTTCCTCATTTCACCTCGATAAGAGGTTTTAGAGCTCCTTACCTTTCAGCAGATCCCTCGTGTGTGGCGGTCCAGTTCCAATTCCCGCTGCGGCCAGCTGCTTTACGACCTCACACTTGGAACGTCACTGTCTTGGCCGCAGGTCCCGCTTGCTTGGACGTGGTTCGGAGAGTCTGAAGCGAGTAGACCTTCTGCAGGCAGTCAGCCAGCATCGTTAATCCACCGTCTAACTGTACACCGTGACAGCTCTCCCCGACTGACGCTCGGTGTCCTCGTCGAGCCACATCGCCCGGAGCCTGTCGCACGGTGTCCTCCGCTGCCAAATCTGGAACGTTCCCACGTGACGTTCCACTCGCCTTTTGACTCTCGATCCTTGCTCCAGACGACGTTCCTTCGGCTTGCGTACCTCGCTCCACACTAGCACGCTCTCTTTTCTCCCGACGCCCTATGCGACCAGTCAGTCCTTCCCACTTGCGTCTCACCGCCTTGTCATTCTGGCTCACGGCGCTCGGCCTGAGCCCTTCATAATATCGCATCACGTAACTGTAGCAACCGACCACTAACACCGCCAAATTCCAGTAGCAACAGCCAATTTCAAACTCCAGGTAGACGTCCATGACCAACACAACCAGCGTCACTCCCATCCAACCGCACAGTATTCCTTCGACGCTCTCGTACACCAGGCGGGGCAAGTAGATTAGGATAGACACTGGTAGAAACGTCAGCAAGTAGCTTCCAACGATAAAGTCTCCAACTCTGTCCACAACAGCTACTACAGCTTCACTTGTAGCTCGCGTGTACCGACAGGACGTTGTCCATAGCAATTGACTCACATCTGGAGCCTACAGGCAGCACGAATGGTGGAACGCTTCACACCACTTAAGACACATACGACCTGTAATCCCAAACCGGGATTCATAGTCCTGTAGCGCCGCGATGGGGACCAAAAACAGCAGCTTCACTAGTGCGCACGCGTACTCCGGAGGTGGCACAGCAGCGGCATGGGCATTTCGGGCCGCCACCAAGTAGCGATCACAGCTAGTGTACCAGAAGAAGTAGATGACACGCACGTTCTCGATCGTCCCGTCGAGGAACGCCCACGACACGTTCCGAAGAGGCGTCGTTGCAATCCAGATCACGACCCCATAATCGCGCTGCCGATAACCCTCATCTCGTCTGCCACTTCGAACTTCATCACCCAGTCCGCCAGCTCCGCCCATTTCGCATACACTTCCAAAATCGTCTTCAATCGTCGAGTGACATCGTCACAACCGCAGCTCCTCCCGACCGCTAGCCGTTAAGATGGTTCTTCAACCGACACCTTGTCCGACCAAGTCACCAAGCATCATAGCGTCCCTCAGTCAGCGCCACGTCCCAACTGTCTAACCTTCTCGCGTGCCCCTTGGCAGCCATCAAGTAAAAACTTTCAGTTTTCGAGTTTCGCTCATTTCGCATTCCGCTCCCGCCATGTCCACGCGACTTTCCGCTGCCGAGCTGAGGCGCTTCCGGGCGTTCTTCAGCACTGCCCTCGACCATGAGGAGCAAGCACCCCGGGGGACACTGCGCGACCCTTCCAGCAGCAGTTTAAGACTGAGCTGCGCGCGCCTGGGCGCTAACAGCATGTCGTCAGGTCTTCAATTCTTGGACCAGCTCGCCGAGGACATCCTAAATGGTCGGGCCGGCGCTTCGCCCCAGGGAACCATCGTGGCCCTTTCAGCGCCGCCAGACTCCGCTCCCTCTTCGGGCTCCGCTTCGGCGTCGACAACGTCGTCCAGCAAGCAGTCGAAGTCGCCTTCCAAGAAGTCACCCAAGTCGACTAAGTCGCCAGCGCGAGGCAAGCCTAAGTCCAGCAGTGATGACTTTACTCCCAAGGCGCCCGCGAAAAAGGCTCGCACTGTCAGTAAACCCAAGAAACCGCACGCTCCGTCCAACTAACCATCTTCTCGACGTGAGCCGCGCTGCTCCAGCCCCCATTCGTCGGGCAATTGCTACCATCCTGGCGAAGGCAGAGGCCCTTGGTAAGAAGCCCTGGTGCCTCGCGTACCCTTGGACAGGACGTCCCATGTGGTACGATCATATCAAGTTCAGTCAAGTGTACCGCGCGCACTGGCGTTCCTGGATGACCCATCGCCGTTCTTTCTGGGAGTGGGCCTTACACGCTTCCCTTGCCACAGAAACGGCCATGCCTCAGCGTCGTAAGCTGAAAATGCGCGCCGTTCAAGCCCGCTGAGCCTTCACCAGCCTCTGCATTGAGACGTGGGATCTTTATGCCTTCCTCGAGATATTGAAGAAGCGCCCTGAGATGTATTGCTCGGGGGCCAGCCCGGCAGAGCCACACGCGATGGTCGCTCCTACAACGGACCCATTGCTGAGGACCTAGCGACCCTGAAGCAGAAGGACAAGGAACGCTATGACACCACGCTCGAGAACGCGCTGGACCCGTCGACTATCGACACCTACGGGTATCCCAGCATGCGTTCTTTGTTTGAGTCTACGGACGCGCTAAATCCGGCTGCAGATGAGAAGAGTCGACTCTCCATCGCTGCCCTGGCTCGGGTTCGTCGCGACACCATGTCAAGTACGAAACCAAACGTAACTTGAGCTGGTGAGAAGACCGAGGAACCGTGGCAGACGCTCGTAAACAACCACGCCGTCAAGATGGCTCAAGATGACATCATGGCTCGGATCACCGCGGGAACGTACGAAGTTCCAACTGTCCGTCCATCGATCAGTACGGAACGTCGCCGAGATGATTGTTCCGCGTTCGAAGATGAAGGTGAGGACGAAGAGAAGGAAGCCGTTGCCGAAGATGAAAATGCTTCTGATAATGACGACGAGAAGTCAGAGGCCGACGACGACGAAGACGAGCAAGAAGAGGATGAATTCTCGAGCACGAAGAAGGCGACGAGGAAAGCGACAAGGACGACGGAGGGGACGACCAGAAGGAGGCCGCCAAGTACTTTCGAGACCCGCGCGTTCTCGTGTTGTAGTCGTTCGTAGCCCCCATTCCTTTTCATGCATAATCGTAGCGTTCCGTCGCTTCCCAGCCGTCTTGTTTTGTCCTTTTTCCGTCGGTTCCTCGTTCCCATCACCAACAAATTCTTCCTTGTAATGTTTCTTCTCGTTCCAGACTAACCCGTCACTAACTCCCTCACGCTCCAAGCTGATGCATCCCGAACTTCCTCACGTTCC